TAGGGAAGCCCTGGGGTTGCAGCAAAATCTGCAGCCTTTCAAAAAAATGGGGGTGGTTTGTTGTTTTTTTAAAATAAAAATAAATTAAAAAAAAACAAAAAAAATAAAAAACCCCTGAAAGTAATAAAGCCAACCCCTGCAGCTTTAACAAATAAAAGATGACCAGGATCACAACTGCGTTGTGAGATCTTGGTGGCCATTTTGCATGCTGCCAACAGGATTACTGAGGCTTCTGTGCCTCCGTTACTGTCAGATGGGGGGGGGGGTTAGACACCCCAAAGGGTTAAAAGTTGGAAGGGAGGGAAGCAGGTGAAGTGGGGAGAAAGTGTGGGGAAGGGGATACTTGGGGGGGGGGAGAGTCTCTTGTGATTTCCCACACACATGGATGAAGCTTTGTATTCAGGAGAGGGAAAGTCCCCACGGTTGTCCTGTTGGATCGCTGCACGGGAAAGAAGGAAGTGTTGCTGTGCCATAAGCCAAGCAGAAAGCCCTTCCCCAGGCAAGCCCTCCTGGTAGGATTCAAACAGTTTGGCATCAGCTTCATCACACTACTAAAACACTTCCCGTTGTTTTGTGCCTGTGTTTCTTAAGAAGGCAACGCGCCCGTCTCCTTATTTTAACTTACGTTACAGTACTGCCGCCTGCTGGGGTAGCTGCCCATGACAGGAAGGCTCCCCGAAAAGGAGTCGAGCAGCACTTCAGAGACCATTGTGCTGAGGACACCTGAGTCTAGCAGCCTGTCAGTCAACACACACAAGGACAGGGGGGCCTGGATAAAAATATCCTGCCCACTTAATGGAGGCTTCAGATGTAGAAATCAGCAGTTAAAGTTTTTCATGACATGGAACGGAATAACATCCCAGTAAAGGTAAAGGTTCCCTTGCTCGAAAGCCAGTCGAATCCGACTCTAGGGTTGCGGTGCTCATCTCCGTTTCAAAGCCGAAGAGCCAGCACTGTCCGAAGACGTTTCCGTGGTCATATGGCCGGCATGACTAAACACCAAGGCGCACGGAACGCTGTGACCTTCCCACCGAAGTGGTACCTATTTATCTACTTGCAATTTCTTGCTTTCGAACTGCTCGGTTGGCATCCCATTAACCCTCTATTAATGGGGCAGGACATTTTTTCTCCAGGCCAGTTGGCAATCCTACAGAAAGCAGAAACAAAATTATGGACCACAGGGGCTAAAAGGCTATGAAATACAAACGTCTGTGACATTTTGAATAACAGCCCGTTATTTGCCAGTCACAACCTTAAAGAAACTCTTATTTTTATTTAGAGATGTTTACCTGCTGGGCCTTCCCAGTGAGACCCAAGAGTGGCTCACAAAATTTCCCCCCCCCCATTCTGTTTTATCTTCACAACAACCACCCTATGAGGTAGGTGAGGCTGAGACTGGCTCAAGGTCACCCAGGGATCTTCCCTCGTGCCAGTGGGGATGGAACCCTGGCTGCCCCAGGCCCTTGCCCCCCCCCCCCGTCTACCGCCAGTCTCCTCGAGCAGAGCTCCTGGGGGCGTAAAAGGTCCATAAACATTATGGACTACAAGCGATCGAGGGTGTTCTCCTTCATCTTATTCTAACACACAGTTACATTAGCTGCCAGCCCCTCTACACACACCTCTTGTGCACACTGACTGAGCATGCAAAGTGAAAGACAGCCCGAGTGCGCTGGCTCTGCCCCCATCACAGAGGGAGTACATGCGCAGAGACACTCCCGATGCGCATAGGTGCTGTACATACAAGCCAGTGGGTAGAGATGTAAAATTTCAAGATATGTCCAAAGTTTCAAGATATGTTGAAGCCATAGCAAAAAAAACTTGGTTTTCCAAGAAAAAAGTTTAGGGGAGACCAAAATACATGCACTACTTACTTTCCTATCAAACAGAACCTTCTATTATGGGTTTTACAATACAAACCCCTCATTTATTTATCAGGGTCCATAAAGCAGCAAACATTTAGAACATTAAAACATTTATGACATCATTCACATATAAAATTCTACTATTGGCATATCTATGGAGTTTTATTAAGAAAACTCACAAGCATACTTTGGGACAGAGTGGCACACTACTGCACTCTGCTGCCTTTGTAGAGGTATCTTTCATTTTTGTCATTCAAGAGGCAGAAAAAAATGAAGGAAGAAAACAAATTTTGTAGCAAGCAAGAGAAAGTGCATGAGTTGGACAGAAACTTTCTCAGACAGTCACAACAGGTAGGACTGCCCACAAGTTAGGCTATTAGCTTAAATTCTGCCATTGAGAACACTAAACTTATTAAGTGAGTTTTATCAAAAGAAGAGAAAGAGAGGGCTTAGAGGGGACATGACTGCAGTCTTCAAGTATTTGAAGGGCTGTCATGTAGAAGATGGAGCGGATCTATTCTCTCTTGCTCCGGATTGCAAGATGAGATCTAATGGGTGGAAATTACAAGGGAGTCGTTACCGGCTCAATATCAGGAGAAACTTCCTAACTGTAAGAGTGGTTGGGCAGTGGAACAGTCTGCCTTGGGAGGGGGTGGATGCTCCTTCGCTGGACGTTTTCAAGCGGAGGCTGGACGACCATCTTTCGGGTATGTTATATGGCTCGCTCTCGGCTACATTCCTGCAGAGTGCAGGGGATTGGACTAGATGACCTGCAAGGCCCCTTCCAACTCTTAACATTCTATGATTACACACATTATAGCATATTGTTGCCAAAATGATTTGGATGCACACATACATTTTCAAGAATATGTGTTCATGCCTACAGTATAGATAGCTGTAGATTGTCTTACATAACATTTTTCACACTTTCCCAATAGGCTTTACTGAAACTTGGTGGGATGACACAATTGAAATATTAGGATTGAGGGGTACAACTTGTTTAAAACGGATAGGGGGGAGGAGTAGCATATGTCAAGAAGGCGCATGTACTTGTGTGGAAATACATGAATCTGAGCATGGACGTCCAGCTGAGAGTCTCTGGGTAAAAATAAAAGGAGTAAGAAATAATACTGATATTATGGTGGGGGTTTGCAATAGACCACTAAGCCGGGCAGAGGATGAGACACTCCTAGAACAGATTGCAAAGTTCTCAAAGAGACGGGGCACGGTGGTCATGGGAGATTTCAATTACCCGGATACCTGTTGGAATTCCAACTCTGCTAAGAATGAAAGGTCCAATAAATCCCTGACTTGTCTTGCTGACAACTTCGCTTTCCAGAAAGTGGAGAGGGGAACAAGGGGATCTGCTGCCTGGGACTTGATTCTCTGGAGGTCCTGGCAGTGGGGCAGTCCTCACTTCTGGGATAAGGCTCCTCTCCAGAAGGAGGGTCGACCAGCTGATTTTGATCCCAGAGGGAAGGGGCTTGTCCCAGGGAGCTCCAGTTTTCTCGGCCCTACTTTCAGATCAGGATGTTGGCAGCGCTCCATCGAGCACAGCGGTCCAAGTTGCTGTTTTCTTCGGTCAGAAGGCAGGAAGAAGGCCCGCATGGGAAGGGAAGGGCCTGTGCCCCCCCTTCTCCCACGATGCATCAGAGCAGCAGCAAGCTACTTTCAAGGCCGGTGGCCCCGGGGGACTCCGAGTAGGCCATAGCCGCAGATTCCTGCCGTGGTCTCCAGCCTTCGGGCCGGGTGCACCCTTCTCCAGCGACTGAGGGCACAGCAGAGTCTGCAGCAGCCTATTTGGGAGCCACCTACACTTGTGGCTAAGTTTCCACAGGCTCGGAAGGAGCCGGCTTGTCCAGATAATCAGAGGGGAGGCTCCAGCCCAGCAACTCCACCTGAACCATGGTAAGATCAGCCCAGCTGCAAAAAGGTGTTCAGTTGGAAGGAGGACAGAGAGTCATCAGAGCCTTCTAGCTTTAGTGAGAGAGGAAGCCGTTTTGTCTCCTTGCTCTCCTACAGGAGTTGTTGCTTTCACTTTTCCTTTTGGTGGGAAGCGTTGTTTTAAGGGGAATGGTACAAAACACTGTGCGTACAAAATATTCAAACTGTAATAAAGCTTTTAATAAACTATACCCCAAATGATTCAATATCTATAGAGTTCTATTCTATGAAACACCTAGTTTTTATCTCTACTATCAACCATATGGTTCCCCTTGCGGTGGCGCAGGGGATTTCCCCCTGCTTAATGATAACATCTGAACTGCCATGCTTTGGCAGTTCTAGCCCCGTGCTGGTGTGAGCAACCAAGCCTTGTCCTAGCTCATCGTCTACCCAGCGATTCGAAAGCTTCGGCGAATAGATAAATTGGGGACC